ATTCTAGCATTCCTCATTTTGAGCCAGGCTGTGGATCAAGATGAAAGAAAAATTAAATTGTATATTGAAGAGCTGTTAATTGAGCTCTGCTGTATTTAACAGGGAAGCATGGGCTTCAGGCGGTCGATACCGCTGAGGATTTTTAATGTACTGCATCATGAGACTGTCAGGTTGCTTTGGAGAATGCAAACAGGGCTAATGACAAAGCCCTGCAAACTTTTGTTGTTACTGCTGGTCTCTTTGGAAGGCAAGTGTTAATTTACCCGTAGATGAAATCCTGCACACACGTTCGTAATGGAACTAAAGACTGCAGTTTCTTGCCGGAGGACTAATGACACACCGTTTAGTCACCAAAACCTATTTCCTAAGGAGTCATTTTGGGGCTTGTTTAAAGTTTTTAATGTAAGGCCTTGTATAACGGTAGATTTTCTCCCTCTTCCTTAATCAATGTAAATTCAATTGCATTTCAGAGGGTGGCCAAGAAGTATTTCATCATCTCTAATATCCGTTTAAAAATGTTAGGTCTACCCAGTTATAATTCTCAAAAGTAGCCTATCAGTGGTTTAATATGTTATCTCCATTCTCTAAGGCAGTATTAATTTCCTTTTGTAGTTAATCTATCCTACTACCAAATTTAGTATATTTATAGTTAAAGATTCTGTTAAGAGCTAAGTGATTTAAGTACATCTGGGATAAAGTGGCCCTTGGCTTTAACTATGAAACAAATTTTCTTTATTTCATTCTCTTCACTGATAAATCCATAGTAACTGGAGGCATTTCTAGAATTGCTGGCAATTTGAGACTCTAAAGTTTGATTAAAGATACTTCAAATCTTCCTGCTGAGAGGCTAGAGGCCTGAAAGGAACTTATTTTTGGTTCTGATCTGGCCCTGGCCTGGCTCAGTGGGATGGGTGGGCTCAGTTCTGTGTTGCTGATTTTCCGAGGGTCTGGGCTGGGCCTTACATCTCAGGAAGGTGATGATGGAGACCAGTTGGGTCTTCTCATGGCTGTTGCCAAAGACTCATACATCATAGGGAGTCCATAGATATGGCTTTGAAGGGCTTTTCTCATTTATTCATTCACTTACTCAGTCATTCATGCATTCACTCATTTTCTCATTCATTCATTCACCAAACACATATCGTAGACCTACTGTGTGCTGAGCACTGCTTTTATCAGGATTTTGGGGAGGGGTTCTTTGGTGAGATGACCTTTGAACAGAGGGAGATATGTATGGAGCACGGCAGAGATCACGCAGATGGGGGATTGCACATGTGAACCGCCTAATGGGTTTCCTGGCGTCCAGAAAGTGCCCTTGTGGTTGGTACACTGTGGCATCTCAACACCTATTTTGTGAAGCACAAGGAGAGGCGCTTTGGAAATCTAGGGGAAAAAAGCAGCTAGACTGTGTGCCTGGAATTAACGCACCGCCACCCACTGCTGTGGGCTGAATGCTTGTGTCCCCACTGAGTCCAGACGTGGACGCCCTAACCCCCAGTGTGATGGTGTTTGCAGAGGGGGCCTCTGGGCGGCGATCAGGGCTAGATGAGGTCATGCAACGGCTGGTGGGGACACAGGAACAAGGTCCTGCAGTGCGATACGGTTGGAGAGGATCTTCCCGGTGGGGAGACGAGTCCCAGAAACACACACAAATAGGCTCGAGGGGTGGAAGTTTGGAGGAGATGGAGGAAAAGGAACCTGGCATCGGGAGAATTGGTCCCAATCCAGGCTCTGCCACGTAACCTCTCTGAGCATGAGTTTGCTGTGGACATTAACGCTAACGCATATAAGGTCCCAGCACATAATACAGTAGCCATGTTTGTGTGACCACAGTCTCCTATTTTGGGGAATTTGGGCAAGGTATGAGAGAGCAGCTGGCAGGTGAGCACCCTGCCTGGGAGACAGGGCTATGAGCTTCCTGGGGAGGTGCAGTGCAGAGATGCTAACCTGGCTCCGGAGCCTGTGCCTGAGATGTTGCAGCTTTCTGCTTCTCCAGCCATCAGAGGCTGTCAGAGAAGGGAGGCCTACCCGATGGAGAAGATTTCTTCTCTGAGGGCACAGGTTGATCAGTCTCGGTTGGTAGGAAAAGATGTAGCCTTGGAGGAAACAATTGCTAAGGCATTCTCAAAGGACTTGGGCCCCAGGAATTGTGGGGATTTGCCAGAGGAACCAGGGATGACCCCTTCTTTGACTACACATGTGGCTTCTACTGGATTCCAGAGAGACCTGGGAGGGCCAATAGGCCTGCTGTACCTGGGTTTGCCTTTCATCACTGACATATGAGGGGGCGGGGGTTCTCCTGGAACCCTTTTAGGATGAGGCGGTGAGAAAAGCAAGACCCATTTTCTTATCCTGTGCATCTGGAGTAGGTCCAAGGAAGAGGGTGCCCTGCCTGGGCGAGAGGGAGCAGAGAGGATGCAGGACTTGGAGTAGACATCGCAGCCTAGGGGGCCTGCCCGGCTCAGCCTCCGTGACTCTTGAGCAGTCTCACAGTGCTGGGACACAAAAAGAGGACCAACCTCATGACAAGGAGACAGAACATAAAAATGGGACTTGAACTGGTCGGGTGGCTTTTAGCAGCCAGGGTGCGTCAGGCTGTGATGACCACCATCCCCAGTTCTCAGTGACGTAACCCAGCAAGTTTCTCAGTCACGTCATCTGACCAAAGAGGATGGGAAGGGGTCCCCGCTCATTATAGTGACTCAGGGATCCAGGCTGACCTTGGCACATGCCTCTGTTATTTTTGCAGTGCTGGGAAGGGGGCTATAGCAGATCAGCATCTGGCTTCTAAAGCTCCCCCCCTGAGAAGTCTTACTCCCACCCACAGTTCACTGGCCACAACAAGTACACAGCCACACCTGACTGAAAGGACAAGGATCCTACTATGTGCCCAGAGGACTCAAACAACCAGGATTATTGTGAGCGGTGACTATAAAAACTGCCTCAGTGGCCGTGGAAATGGCATCAATTTTGAATGCGGGTTAGAAATTAATTGGTCAGGTATCGCAGGTTTTTTTTGCAGAGGATGGAAAAGCACTCACAGATTTAAAAAGGCCTGGCATGGCACCTGTGTTTTAAACAGGAGGACAAGATGACATTGGGGGCCAGCGACACAGAGATTTCACTTCTGTGCCATGACAAATACCAGGGAGAAGTAATTGCAAAACGAAGCTGCAAATGTCTCACCCAGGGAACTAGGTAACAACCTGCTTGGCTTCATAAAGATGGAATAATATCCAATTAGCCGAAGTGTATTCGGTGCCTGAGTGACAAGCTCTGGAGACCTGAGGGCCTCTGGGGCCCCCAGGGCAGTTTCAGGAGGCTGTCTGAGACCTGTCCGGGCTGTGGGGGGCTGTGGGAGGCTGGGCCCCACCCCAGAGCGGGAGCTGATCAGCATGCCAGGCTCTGCCGTGCGCCTCCCTGGAACCACTGCCTCCGCTGTTCTGAGTGCCAAAAGGAGGCCCACCCCGTGTTTTGGTGTGTGTCCCTCCAGCCACCAGGCAGGGGCACCTTCCCTGTCACCGTCACCTTGCCTCCTGCCACCCTTCCTGTGACTGCACAGCTGGGCTCATCTCTGGCGCCGTGTGGGATCCCACAGACCGACCTCTTGGACCCTCAGGTCTGGGATCCCCATCCCTGCCACTGGCTCATCCCCCCAAAGCCACTGTCATTCCTTTTGCCAGGAGTATCGGAGTGCTTTCAAGGCCATACTGAAGCGTCCAAGTCCAAGCCCTGCCAATCCCTGCCTGTGTGACCTTTGGCCAAGCATAAACCTCTTTAAACTTCAGTTTCCCCATCTGTAAAATGTGGTTCATAAAAGTTCCTACCTCTTATGGTTTTCCTTAGGGTCAGGTGGCAGGCCCTCTAAGTCCCTGAGCCGTCACAGCACCAGGCCCTCAGCACTCAGTGTCTGCTGCTGTGAGCCCTGTGCTCATTACTGTCACTCTCTCTATTCATGCCTGACTGCCAGAAGCCCCTTTCTGGACCTCAGCATCCTAGGATTACACTTTCCCCTGAGTAACTGTTTACCTACCAATCGTGCCATTTAACCACACTGCCCAGCACTTTTCTAAAATTTGTGTGAGAGTCCCTGATGGGGGTGCTCAGCCTGTGGTGAGCAAGGCCAGGTCTTCATTTCTTTGTGACCTTAGTGCCTAGTGTGCTCTCCCCAGTTTGACCCTCGGCTGGTTTCATAGTTTGATTTCATGTCTTTCTTTGTTAATGAGCCACCTCATCGTTGTGAAAATAAGTTGAATGTCCGCAGTCAGTGAATGAAGGTTGCCAAATAAATGTTCTGTTGAACACTTGGAGCTGGACTGGAACCTGAACTACTGCTCAGTATATTTTGGTTCCACTGGTCTGACAACATTTGCTACTTAATCATATGAAAAAATAGAGACCTGTATGAGAGCGGGGTTCAGTGAAGAGGCTTGTCCTTGATGTTTAAGCCAGTATGGCCTAAAATCTACCAGTGTGGATTTATGGGAGGTTTAGTTGGAGATGCAGGCTGTTTGCTGGGGAATGGAGACGGCCTTCTGTTCCTGTGTTTTGCTATATAACTCTGTGCTCTTTGGCAAATCACTTAAGCTGTTCCTCGTATCGAACACTTCCTATGTGTCAGGTGTAACTGTGTAACTGTGTGTCAGGTGAACTTACTATGAGTTCAGTACTGTATACCTAGTGCCCTGTCTTTTTAAGTCCTCCTGGTGATCCTTTGGATGTTGGGGCTCTTCTTTCTATTTCACAGAAAAGCAAACTGGGGCTCTGAGAGGTTAACTGGCTCCAGATAGGATGGCTAATAAGAGGCATAACAGAGACAGGAGCACACGGCTAGCCAGGGCCCTCATCCAAGAGGGCAGGTTCTGAGCTTCTGACCTTAATAGACACCAAAAAGCTTACCAGGCTCAGAAGAGGAATCTCGTCTTGAAAGTTATTGCATGCCAGGTGTCATGCAAAGTGTTTTGCACATGCTTGAAAATGCTAAACCTAAGATTCAGCTTTTTATTCAGGAAACTGTTGTTTCACCTACCGGGAAATGGTATTTAATATATACGGGTACGGGGATGCATAATTCTGTATGCTGTGGGGGCCGTGGAGACTGATCTTCTGCAGAGGTCAGGTTCTAAAGTCAGCGTATACACTGGAAATGGTGCGTAGTCACATGCCCCTCAAAGGCCCTTCCAGACTTCATGCCCTTGGCAACGCAGTTAGGCCAGTTTGGAAACTCCTGCGTCAGTTTCTTGTATTTCAGCAGTAGCCTTCTCTTCCATGGAAAGTGGAGGCCAAGCATGTTTCACCGACCCTACCCGCCCTTTGCTTTTCTTAATGCCCTTGTCATTAAGGGGCAGTTGTCTGCAGGCATCATGATTGGACTATTTGAGTTAACAAATGAGCTTCTGTTGAATTCCGTGGTCTACCCATATGAAGATGATTCTCCTTCCTGTAAGGAAAAACAATGTAATGATGAACTTGCTACATTTATGGCCATCACAATGAGGTTTTCTCTAGATTTGTGATGTCTGGGGGCGTTACTTGAAGGCAAGGGCCTTTTCTGGCCAGAATGTCCTTAGCCTGGGTGTGCCATGCAGTGCAGAAGCCCATCCAAGTTTATCCACTACTTGTAGAGACAGTGACTCTTACTCATTAGAGTTTTTGAATCCAATTGTTTTTAAACTGCCACTTTTGTTTGTTAAAGATACAGATTTCTGACCATAGAGAGAAGCACAGTGAATTTTTTGTTGCAGTTAGATGCTTGACAATTTGAAAACTTATCACTTAAATTGGTGAAGTGTCACTTTTATGCAACCTGATAGTTAGAAGTCCTTGGAGCCCAGGACTAGATGCACGTGCAATTTAACCAAATCTTGGTGAGATGAAGGCTGTCGCCCTTCATGAGACACTGAGACACACTGGATGGAATTCTTCAGCTCCTTCCACATGGTAGGATAGGTGAAGGGAGATGGATCACACATTGATTTTTGTATAACTTTTAAATCAAGTGGAGCAGAGTTAAAAAAAAAAAATAAACGTATTTCCCTACGTTTGCTTGCTCCAAGGAAGTTAGCTAATATGTTAATATAAATCTAGACTAACATTGTGTGTTTTCCCTCTTTGTGTTAATTTGTGCTGTCTGATCTCTGAGCAATCGGGAACAAGTCATAGGTTATATGTCTCTTATTTATGGGCATGAAGCAATTTCTCTAAAATGTGAAATAAAGCTGACACAATGCACAGCCTGATAATAACAACAAATTTAATCTAAAGTGACGCAGGGAGACTCTCCCAGACGTTCTTCTCTTTAATGTAACCTGACTTTGAATTGGTGCAGTCCCACAGTGACTGAAAAACTCTCAGAGCTCGTCTCCCATGATTACATTTCTCATCTGCATGACTTAATTTTTTAGCTCGGTGAGTCTCAGTTTTTCAAATGAACAGGTCTCTTTTTCTTTCTCTCTCACTTTATTCGGTAAGAGTTTATTTGGCAACATGGCCAAGAAAGACAGCTCTATTGTGGGAATAGGAGCAGGCCTACAACACAGACCATGAGAACCTGCCACAGGATGGGCACCGTCAAGGGTCTTTCTCCTCTTTGCTTCCTTTTCTCTTTCCTTCCCTTGTCTGTGGTGAGGTTTTGCACATATCTGTGAGTACAGTTAAAACCACTGAATTGTATGCTTTAAATGGACGAATTAGATAGCATGTGAGCTATATGTCAGTCATTTAAAATACGTCTCTTGAATCATCATCAGTATAATTACTCTGGAAAGTGTGTCTTGATGAATTCAAAGCTAATTTAGAATGGATTCTCCTTCTGTGGTGTAAAAGGTAATGTCCAGGGATTTCTCCTGTTTGTTTATTCGGGGCACTCACTCAAACTCTGTATCCAATGGTTTCTAGAATGTGTTGGGATTTTGTTCGATGTTTTCTTGAGTTTGCAGTTGCACTTCTTGGGCCTCCTTTGTGATACTGATGCATTTTATGTGGTTCAAAGGCAGCTGCATCACGGATGCTTCCATTTAGGCAAAATAATGTGGATTTCATAAACTCAATCCTGCACTTCTCACCTACTTCCACACCCTGAGTTTCAGAGCTGACTTCGTTTTTTCAGTTTGGGTGTTTGCTAAAGTGAGTAACAAGTATCTCACAGATACACTCCTTTAGGTCAAGACTCTGGTACTGAGACGACTTTCACTAAGTGACCCCCAAAGGCTTTCCGACCCCTCTTTTGCTTCCTCAACGGTCTCCAGGGGGACTTGCAGATAATCAGGAGAAAATCAAAGCTTTCTTTTTCCTTATCATGTTCTTTAACTCAGCCGTCTTAGCTTGGGTATGTAATCTTGGACATGGCTATTGATAATTGTAAATTTTTATCTGAAATAATGTTTAATGTTTTCTTGTGCAAGACAAACGTAAGGACAAGAAAACCGTTCAGGTTTTCTTTGATGTGAAAAGCCATTTACAGGGGGTGGTACGACAAGAAGCAGGAGTGAAATTCCAGACTAGAACGTGGTGATGAAGCAGCCAGGGCTTCAGGGTAGGGCCATTGTCCTGCCCTGGGAAACATGCACATCATTTCTTCCCTTCACCTGGCATTTCCTCCAATAATTTATTTTTGGGCTCATTCTAAGATCAAGATTTAAAATTTCCCCCAAGAGGTCTGGGTTTATTACCTGAAGCAAGAAACCTTTGTTCAAAAATTTTAATCATTAGATCCATATATGTTTAGATTCTCTCATTTCTTTTTCTCTTATCCAGTGTGCCACATATCTTCGAGTTGGTGAATTGGAGTAGGTTTTATTATATATCATACCACAGAGTTAAGCTTGGTTCATTTGGACTTAAAAAATCTCCAGAGCTTTGAAACACTCTTTACTGTTGGAGCTTAAAGAAAATAGATCTCAAATGTCCTTTATATTAATTCACCTGCTTGGAAAGTGAAAGATTAAAAGGGTTTAGTGGGATTTTTATATTTTTCTATAATTTCTTTTTGTATTGGAGTAAACTATTCTTTATGGAGTGGCTCAGCTTTTATAAAACAAAGATTCCACTATTGAGAGAAGAAGAAAAAGAAAAAAAAAGTATATGGTATAAATTCATAAAACTTCCTATGGCTTTTTTGTATTAGAAGAAAAGGAGTTGCTCAGTTATTTTAATTAAGTGTCCTTTGAAAAAAGCCATCTCCTATTTCCTTTCGTGGTGAATGCTGTGAGTAGAGACCTGCATGTTTTCCTTTTAAAAGAAAGCTCTTCGTTTTTCTTCAGAAGGCATTTTTTAGCAAAATGAGGGAAGAGAAAGAGGAGTAGATAAGGAAATGAATCACGATATTGAGGCAGGACCAGGGTATTACAGCCTTTCTCATATTCTGGTATCTAGAACCGAGGTTGCTAATTAATGACCCAAGAGCTAACTTTGTTTGATGAAATGCAAGACATAATATACACATCGAGTTTGAGTGATGTGTGATTATTACCATTCATTCCTATACAATCCTGTGTTTGGAAGATTTGTAATTTGTTTTTGACACATTTCTCTCTGATTTCATACACTCATGCACATGGGTCTCACCTTCCTCCAAAACCTTATTTCCAAAGCTGACTTTGTTTATTCAATTTGGATAATTTATTGCCCACTATTTATTTCCTTAATACATAATCTTTCCTTAACACTCTCTTTTCCAAACTGACAGTGTAAAGAACTAAGTCCCAGGATGGGAACTTCAAACTTCTGCTGAGAAAGGAAAGTCAAGGCCTTTCAGCTCCTGAAACATCCTATGGGATTCCTTTCAAGTGCCCTCCCTTTTGGGAAGTGTTTGAACATCACTGACAGTCATCGTGTGACTTGGGACAGTGGTGTTTCCTGCCTGATCGCTAAGATGTCCACCAGAAAAGAAGCCGGCTGACTCCCAGGGGGCAAAGTGGGGTGAAACTAGGTCTTGAGAAGTTAAAGGGAGGCCAACTTTTGTTTTCCAGTTCGTGTCCAACACGTATTTCTTCAGGGCCAAGGGCCCAGCTGTGTGTGCCTCATTAGGAGCGAGAGTTTGGCTGTGACAACACTTAATAAAAAGAGAAGAAAGGATGGGAAGTAGGAAGGGAGGAAGGGAAGGAGGGAAGGAAAAAGCCCAACCAGCTAAATGGCAACATAACTTGGGACAGGCTGTGTCTAGAATGTTTCATGTCATATAATGAGCGTGCTAATTGCTAGCTGTAAAGAGAAAAGTGACATAGTATGCAGCAGTCAACTTTTTCCCAAAGAAAGAGAGGAAAGGATAATATCTTGCAGCCAAGACACTGGTGGTACCTGTTAACTTTGGGCGCAGTGCAGATGTCAACCCCGGAAAGCGACTGCCGGTGTACGGCACTTTTTACCATTTAATCAACTTCATCGTATTTATAGCCCTGGCGAGGTCGGCCCATTGTTACAAGATGAAATTGTGATGTTCAGCAGTTTATACCTTGGGAGCTGGAAGCGTTTCTCCATGGTGAATTTGTAATATTAATTGGCCATGTCAGTTCTTGACAAATGTAGTGACATCTATTTCAAGTATTTCAGTTTTATGGTGCTGAAAAAGTGACACACGCTCAAGATAAGTAATCTCACAAAAGATTGTCACACTTGCTCTGTAGCGCTTCCAGAGCACGTTCTCCGAGGAGATGCACATGGCCCCGGGTTCAGGGGGCTGCGCCCCTTCCTCCGGCTCCTGTGGCTCTGGGCTGTGAAGGAGGTCAGGGGAAGGGGCAGAGCGCTGTTCTTCCTGCCAGCCCTGGTCAGTCCCAGGAGGCTCTGGCCGAGCCTCTGGCATGGACTCTCATGGCAAGCAAGTGTGCTTGAGGTGGCCATTTATTTGATGCCAGGTACCTGCTGCACAGAGTCTGTGCCCATTGGTAACAAGAAATTAGTGCTTTCTCACTGTGTGTGGTGGTTCTCCACCAGGGGCCATTCTGGGGACACTGACAATGTCTGGAGACTTTTTGGTCGTCACATCTTAGGGGGAAATGAGTTGCTCTTGGCTTCTAGTGGGATCAGGCCAGGGACGCTGCTAAACATCATACCACACATAGGACAGCCCCATGACAAAGTATGGTCTGGCCCCCAAAAGGCAGTAGTGCTGAGGCTGAGAAACCCTGCACTTGTATGGACCATAGCCCTTTGCACTTCTCAGCCTTGGGTGGTCAACAAAAGGTCAGTGTGGTCAGCGTGAGGGGTGCTGGAGTTCCCACCAAGCGGGAGGCGGGGCAGGCAGAGTGGAGGATGTATGAGGTCCTCTGGCAGATGAGGGGGTGGGGGCAGGCTACAAAATGATGCCCCAGAAAGCATGGACATGGCCAGAGCAACCTGGGCAGGAGTTGTGGGAAACAGAAGGAGGGAGCCGTCCCTCCAGCTGGGCTGGGCTTCTAGAGGGAGAGGGTGTTGAGTGTAGCTGCAGAGATATGGGGGAAAGGC